ATTTCCAAGCGACAGTGAAAGCAATGAATATTTTGTAGGTTTTGAACCGAACTAAATAACAGTAAACTTTTTTTGATTTACGATTATTTTCTCATTGTGATGTTTTCAGTCTCTTTTGTGTTTAGAACAATATATACTAATTTTTAAAGTATCAAATTGAATTTTTGTACAATAAAAATATTTCAAATGCGACTGTAGCTTTCTTTCCCCAAAACTTTGTCTTCAAAATAAGGGTGCGTCTTATATTCCGAAAAATATGGTAAGTTTTCATTGTTGACCTGGCTTGGCGGTAAGATCGGAGGCTTATAACGCTAAAAATCGAGTTTTGATACCCGTGGTGACCACATCACAAATAGGCCATTGTGTAGCTTTGTCTAAGTGTAAAAATTTCACAACTTATATGAGAGGTAAAATATTAAAGGTAAAATAGAAGACAATAAAGTACATTACAACCATCTCTATAAATATTCATCTCCTATGTCACCATTTTGTTCTGTGAAAGCATTAGTTTGACGTACTGATATTTCTTGAAATCGTTTTAGCAAACAAGGTTCTTTGGCAGAACACTGATGAAATATATATATATACATTCGGAAATGTAATAGTAAATTAAAAATCATGATATAAATGGAACAAATTACGTAATCAAATAGTATAATAATACCTTCAGTAGAAAATCAGCTTGTATCTATAGAATTTTAAAATGGAAACCAACTCAATCTAGATTACCACAATTTAACTTATTTTAAGTAAGCTACCTACTTTAACTCTTTCTCTATACAGGCTTGGTCATTTTGACCAATCTTGCAAACACCACGTAACTTTAAAAGTTACATACTATCAATTTTAATTTAGTGAATTTATATAAACGGAATTTATAATAGTCTTTTAATAAACATTACAATTCTTTTGTACACAAAAAATCAGATTTTTTAATTGGGTATTTTTACTAAAGATGTGTCTGTAAATGTATCGAGTCAGTTTCTGACGAACCTGGGTTGTAAGGTGACTTGCATGTTAAGATTAAAAATGCTTTTTTTCATCTTACACTTTTCAATTTATATTTACATAACCTCTAGAATGTAATTTTTTTATTAAAACCTTATGTTTTATTCGCTCTTTTCTCTCCTGTAACAATATGGTCATCACAACACATTAATTGATGTAAGAAGAGTAATGCTAAAACGTGTAGACAGTTATAAACATCAAGACTA